AGATATAATAAAATACTTTATCCATCTAACCCCATTAATCCCATCCTACACCTGAATAGCATAAAATTAACTACACATTTCCCATGCAATAGAGAAAATAAACAAACATTCATGCATCCATCTAATTTCCTTAACCTCCCCTACCCATATACCAACTCATATACCCACCTACTCATGAATCATTAATTATTATATCAGATAATTATATTAGAACCTAGAAATTTCATTAACTATTTACCAATCAATAAAAAAAACCAAACAATCATATGAAAAACAATAATAATAATAAGAAAGTTATGAAGTCAATATAAAATATAATTAACCAAAAAATTTATAAATGAAATACGCACATGCATTTAACCATAAAATGGGTAATGAAATAATCAATCCAAGTCAATCATACATATTCCCAGTCATTACTGATAAAAAATAAAACAAGTACATATTTTTACCTATATTTATGCTCATATTATTACCATATAATAATTATTACATTAACCTCATAATAATGAGTATTATAAATGTTGCATAAGTAATTCTCTCATTAATCCACTCCCATCCATCCATGAAAAATTCTTATTCAATCATACTAATAGATTAAAAATCTCAAACCATTCCTACTTATCAACACACACATCCAATTGAACCGTCAGTTTAAAAGTATCACCTATATTGAAATTTAGCATCACCCCAAAACAAATCCAAACGAGATTTAAAAACACTTGTATTTGGAGAGTCGACAACAGATTGCGGGAGTCTATTCCAGTCCGCGACTACTCTGTTACAAAAAAAATATTTTCTAACATCCTTGTGAGATTAACCTGTTGACAACTTCATATGATGCCCTCTAGTTCTCCCATCATTATTCAAATTTGAACCATTGTTGTTGTAATTATTTTAATCAGAAAATTTTATTAATTTTTAAATAGTACTCCGTCGTCTCGTCAAGGAAAGCAACCAAATATATTATATATATAAGGATTGAAAAAACATACAAAGAATTAATTGACGTTGGTTGATACATCAGATTTCTATGCTTATATATAAATGTATGAGGCCAGCTTTTATAATTTTGAAAATCAATTTTCTCGTAATTAAATTGTAATACAAAATTGCTGTCACCCAGTGGCACGAAATCAACATTACTGGGTGACAAAAAATCAACGCTGGGTAGCATTTTTGTCACCCAGTTACAATGTTACACGAGGCCCTTTTTTTTGTAATAATTAAAATTTTGTTGATTTTTACGATCAAACGTCTTACTATCGTATTTTATTGTTAAACTTTAGACAAATTTTTTAATTAAATGTCAATAGATTGACAAAAAAGCAACTAGGACGATAATCGCTAAACAACTGGTTAAAAACTGATTGTTTCTTTCAACTTAAATTCACTTTTCAACAAATATAACTATTCTATGTAAAATATTTGTTAAATCGACCTTGATGGTATATATATATATATATATATATATATATATATATATATATATATATATATGAATAACGCGTCTGCCATATTCATATTATATATATATATATATATATATATATATATATATATATATATATATATATATATATATATATATGTCCATCATGGAAGTATACATTAATGCCTACATAAATTGTGTTTTAAAACGCTTGCAAGAAATACATGAAACTTTATTTCAATACATACTAGTTATTTACATGTTAAAACACTTCGTGGAAGTTTATTTTAATGCCTACAGTACAAAAGTATGCCAGAATATGCGTTTACTTTAATACCTACAATGTATATGAACTTTCTCTTAAACCATATCAAAATTACGATTTGATGACAGTTATTTTCGTTAAAACTTATTTTCAGTATTTCGCTTTAAGCCATAAATATTTTTATAATTCTAATAATTAACAGTGTTAATATATATGTTAAAATACGTGCAAATAAAGACATTGAAGTCTACTTTGAAGTCTGTATGTTAAGTTTTATAAGTTAAAAATCGTGCAAATAAATGCACGGAAGTTTACATTAATGCTTGCATGTTAAGTTTTATATGTTAAAATTCGTGAAAATTAATGCATAGAAATTTATTTTAATATCTACATGTTAAGTTTTTATGTTAAAATTTATGCAATGGAAGCTATGGATATATGATTATATATATCCATGATGGAAGCTTATTTTAATGTCAACCGCACATAACCACGCAAGCATTTGAGTTTACTTTAATTCCTACAATGTTAAAACTTTCTCTCTAAAAGCGTACAGAAATTACGATTTTAACTATAAAAAGTTATTAAATAATTGATGATTGTTAAAAAATGTTTTAATTTCTTATTTTTAACAATTATTTTCAGTATTTAACTTTAAATCATATATATTTTTATAATTTTGATAATTAACAGTCATTTATCAGTGCCATTGAATTATATATAAGAATGGCTTTATAGTGTTGACCTTCTTCTCAAGGTCAGGAAACTTGGAAGCAAACTTTATTAGCACCAAATTGTCAATGGGTTTTTCAGTTTTCCAATCTATATTTAGCTTCTTCCCAGTTGATGTGCCACCGGCGGCATTCTTGTAAACGTTTTTTTGCTGCTAAAATCATTCTACGGCAGTTTTAATCGATTTTTAACTTAATAATTTAACTGAATTATGTAAAATTTTTGGAATCATTTATTATTTGATCCATTTTGATTTTATAAAGTTCATTTGTTTAAATGTTTTAAAAATGTTACATTGTGCCAGGAGACACTAGGCCCAGACTAGTAGAAGAAAAGAGGCTTTGCTTTTTGGTATTTTTATTTTAAATTTTTGACTTTTTATTTTTTTAACTATCGTTAATTAATGTTCAAATATTTTTTATATTGTTTTTATATTATGGGTTTATTATTATTATTAAGATGCCTTTGTTAAAACTTAAAATGGCTTTTTGTCATAAGAAATACAGAATACAAAGAGTTTCTCTATTTTTATTTAATAGGTTTATATATATATATATTATATATATATATGATGAAAAATTTTAAATGCAGCTATTTACTTTCAAATTTAAATCATATTTAGACATTTTGCTCAATGGATGCACATCTCTGATCAAGCAACAGCAAAGGCAATCAAAATATTACAAGTCCAGAATCACAATGCTGCAGGCGATAATAAGAAAACTTATGAATGAATGTGATAAATTAAAAAATGAATTAGCTACATACAAAGGTTTTATGTTATATAACCATAGTAAAATGAATTGAAATTTGATTAATTTTTTTTTTCCTTCTAGATAAAAAACTCATACCATTTAAAAGAGTTAACAAAGTATATAATGATAGTTACTAGATCTTTTATATGCAGCTGCATTTTCATGGTCCTCGTGCATACCAATTTTTAAGAAAAAGTGGACTAACACTGCCACACTCGAGAACATTGAACAAGTAAAATTTTGTTAATAATGATATTTTGTAAACTAGTATTGTTATATAAAGAAATATGTACTGATCAATCAATCAATCTTCGTTTTGCGTCCAGAGACCCGGTTTCCCGAGGTAGGTCGTTGTTTTCTTTGCCATCAACTTTTTGCGCCAAATTAGACGATCAGTTGTATCCATTTCATTTAAATTTAGAGCTTTCATGTCTTGCTCGATTGTTTGCGACCAGGATTTCTTTGGACGGCCTTTGGGACGTGTGCCAGGTATTTCAACATCTGCAAGAAAAGTTATGGCACTGTTTCCACTTCGTTTGACATGACCAAACCACCGCAGACGGTGTTGCCGGCATTCGTCCTTTATATCATCTAAACCAGCACGACGCAGGATTTCGGTAGATTTGATGTGGTCCTTAAGACTAATTCGTTGCATCCATCGGAGCATTTTCATGTCGGTTCGTTGAATTTGTTGTTCCAGTTTGGTTGTCATTGGCCATGTTTCTGCACCATATAACAACACCGGACGTATCACAGATTTATAAAGTCTTGATCGTAGTGGTAGTGGGATGTCACGCCGCATCAATATAGAGGCAAGGAGATGCCATTTATTCCAGGCTTCGTGGTGGAATGGCAGCTTCAGCTGTTCCAGTACAATCCAGAACACTCCACCTGATTGCTTTACGGGGAAATCGATCAAATGCTTTTTCAAGGTCTACCAAAATGTGTGATAGTTGATGATGCTTTGCGAGGTACTTCTCTTGCAGTTGCCGAAGGATGTGAATTGCATCAATTGTTGATTTCCCCGCTAGAAAACCAAATTGATAATTTCCAATTGTGATGCACGACGTTAATCTTCTCTTAATGATTTTTTCGACAATTTTCATGGAGTGTTCTAACAGACGTATACCCCGGACCTTCGATGGGTGGAGCGTCAAAGTTGACATTGATGGGATTTGTTTCAGACGGTTGAAATATTTTTTCCACTGTAGCTTGATCTCATCTTGTTCAAGAACCATCTCATTTTTCTCGTTTTTGATACCTGAGGCACCAACTATGTCTTTTTTCGTACGCTTTGCTTGTTTTGCTATACGATACAGAGATTTCATTTGATCACCTTTGCTTTTAGTGAGCTACTTTCTGCACTGATCTGTCCGTGCCAGTGCAACTTGACGTCTTGCATAGTTGTTCTTCTCACGGAAAATTTTATGGTCATCAACAGACTTTGATTTTTGCCATTGCTTGTATGCAACTTTCTTTTCAGCTATTGCATTTTGTACACTGTCATTCTACCACCAAGTGTCACGTTCATGCTGACGTTTTGTACCAGTTTTCCCACAAACTGTAGTTGCAGCGTTCATTAAAACGCTTTTGTATATACTCCAATCTGTACTGGCTTGCGATTGGTGGTCTAACTGTGTGGCGACAATCTGTTGAAATTTTTCTCGATGAATATTGCTTTTCAGCTTCCACGTTTTGATTCTCCGAGGCATTTGTTTAGACTTATGTTTTGACAGTTCGACAACCAGGTCTGTTCCACAAGGAGTCTATGTTGGGCGACACATGATTCGCCAGGTATAACTTTGACGTTTTTGAACAGTCTTCGGTGTGGTTGCTTGACAGCGAAAAAATAAATTTGCGTGGCTGATGGTTCACTTTTGTATGTTATGAGATGTTCCAACCTCTTTCTAAAATATGTGTTCAGTAAACAAAACCCGTGACTTTCAGCAAACTCAAAGATGCGGTTGCCATCTTCATTCCGTTTTCCATAGCCAAAACCGCCATGTACGTTGTCCAAACCATCTGTTTTCTCTCCAACGTGGCCATTGAGATCGCCTCCAATCAGGATTGTTCCAGATTTTGGTATTGCTGAGATGGTGTCAGAGAATGCAGTCCAGAAGTCATTTTTCATCTCTTCTGATTCGCCTGTCTGTGGTGCGTATGCAGAAAAAATAATCATTGTTTGCTTTTCTAGGCGAAGCTTGATCCACATGAGACGTGAATTAATCCTTTTAATATCCAGTACTTCTTGGGCTATCGGTTCTCTGACAAAAATTCCAACACCATTTTTAGCCGTCTTTTGATCATTCCAGAATAGTTTATATTTTTCTTTGTCTGAGTTGACATGACAGACACCATTCGATTTCCATCGGGTTTCCTGAAGGCAGCAGATGTCAATCCCTCTACGCTCGAGCATTTCTGCGATTTCCATGCTGCGGCCAGTCAGTGATCCAACATTGAGCGTTCCAAGTCTAAGTACCATAGAGGGGCCATACTGAATTTTTCTGCAACATCCCTCCGCTATTGCTACTGAAAATGAAATATTGCAAATGCTTTTTAATCCTTGATTTGATATCAATAAAGCCTCAAATAACGTATAATAGGAAAATTGGTAGGTTTTTTAAAATATATTTTGTTTGTAAATTTGTGAGTTTAAAATATAGCATATTTTGGTAGCATATGCTAGTTCATTCCTTGTGTATTTTATTTATTTTTTGATTTTTTTTTGTTTCCCATTTCACTATAAGCATTTGTCTTCAATTTTTTTAATTTATTGATGTTAAATGTTAAGCATAAATTATCAAACGCATTGTTTATTTGTGAAGATGACTTTATTGGATATGTAAACTATGGAGATGGGAATGAGGACATAGTTGCTTCAGAGGTGTTGATTTTTTATGTTGTTGGTCTGCGAGAGGCTTGGAGGCATTAAATAGCTTATTTTTATACAAAGAAATTATCATCTCACAGGTTGAAAGATTTTATAAAGAAAGCCATTGATAAGTTACATAATGCCGGAGTTAGGGTGAATAACATTTGTTTTTCTTAAAAATATGTTAAAATTTTTATACATTATATTTATTTTTTAGGGTTGTTTCACTGGTAATGGATGGGTTGGCACTAACGTTCGGCATGTGGATTGCTTGGATGCTCTTTCACATTTCCAAACATGCAAACAAGTTTCTTGTCCCCAACAACCGGCCAGAAAATATATATCATATTTGATGCATGCCACATGCTGAAATTAATGAGGAATATGTTTCATTCTTATAATATAATATTTTATAATAATAATCCAATCAAATGGAATCATATCGTAAACTTAGTTAATTATCAACAACAAATCAAACTGAAATTAAAAAATAAATTAACCAAAAATCATGTAAATTTTGAAAAGCATAAGATGAAAGTTAAATATGCATCTCATCTCAAGTCTTTAGTTGCTCTGTGGCTAAATCATTGGAACTCTTAAACGGATTTTATGTTTTTTCTGACGTTTCTGAAACAATAGCATTTGTGAAAAACATCAATGATTTTTTCCATATATTGAACAGCAAACTGATGCTAGATAGAAAATGGAAGCAATCCATTACAAAGAGCATCCTGACAGCCACTATAGATAAACTTTATGAAATGAAAGCCTACTTACTAAGTTTGAAAAATTTAGATGGTGTTAACACTTACAAAACTCAAAGGTTCTTTTTTATATATATTTCAATATCTAAACTAAAACTAATTACAAACAATTTCAGAAAAATGTGCATAATGGTCTTTTGTAAAACCATAAATTCAATAATTGATATTTCGAAAGAATTGTTGAATGAACAACCTTTTGCTATGACTTACCGTTTCAGTCAGGATGCAATGGAACCTTATTTCAACTATGTAAGAAGATCAGGTATTAAGCTTTCTGACTTAAGTCATAATAATGAAATAATATAAAAAATTAATTGTGTGCAGGTGGATGCTGCAGTCGCATAAATTGCCAACAATTCAGCGATGTTTACAAAAAGATTTGCTGCAAATTTTTAACAGTTATACTAAGTAACTTTGACATGAAAATTATAAACTGAATAAATTTAAAACTACTCTGCAATTCACAGGTAACATGGGAAATGTGTCATCATTTGAAACAGAAAAACTGCTTAGTAACATTATTTTTGGGGCAGATTTTGATGACAACGTATTTGTGGAGCATGCGTCACTGCAGTATATTGTCAGGAATTGCACTGCATACATGGCAGGATGGGTGGTGAAGTCAATAACACCGACCATCTCATGCGCAGAATGCAGGTTCTTTTTACTTCTAATGTAAACCTCTCCAAAATTCATTCAAAATTTTGCATTAATATGCTGTTACAAATCCCTACAAATATGCAGAAAATTCTTGATTTCAGCCAGCAGAAACATATCTAGCGAATCATCAAATCATTTCATCATACTAAAAGACAATGGACAATCCCTCAAAAGGAGTATTAAAAGTAAAATGATACATTTATTCATTTTCTGGTAAAAGCAATAAATTTTAATGATTTTCAGATCTGCCAAGAATCAGAAAGATTATTAAAATAAATGATTATTGATTTAAGAAAAAACTTGTAACTGAAAGCAACATATTCCCACAATGTGTCAACAAAGATTTATTTAACATGGAAAATCATTTCAATGATGTACAGAATGCAAACCACTATTATGAATTAATAAAAAATCTCATATACAACATTAAGACGTTTTAACTTAACTAAAGAGTTTTCTATCAACATGCAATTTTATTAAAAGTAAATTAAATAATAAAATGCAACAAAAATTATACAATTTAAATTTATTAAATCAATTGTTTTATTGAATTTTTACAGTGCTTCTAATAGACTACATCAGAAGCAAATTCTACAACCTTAGTTTTATCTTTATATATATATATTCACCAAAAAACTTTAGTGAGAAAAATCGAAAAAACAAACTACAAACATATTAACGCCAAACATTCGGTAGAATTTACAAAATATTGTAAATATATATATATATATATATATATATATATATATATATATATATATATATATATATATATATATATTTCACTTTTTAAGATAGTTGAAAGAAAAATTTATAATTATGTAAATCAAACATTTTGCAGTTATACAACAAACAAAACCGAAATCCATAAATAAAAAAGTAGGACTGATCTAACTATGAGTTAAGTTAATTACTAATTATAGCAAGATAGATGTTTTATAATCAACAAGCAAGAAATATAACAATTTACTTACACATAAATATAAAATATACATGTTTATGATCTAGCACCTTCAGGGTTATTTTATAAATAGTAATGTTAAACTAAAAATTATTTAACATTACTTACCAATTCTATTAAAAATCAACAGTTGTTCGTTTTAAATTAATAGCATAATGAATTTCATGCTAGCTTAATATTTATTAAACTAATATTTTTTTAATAATGTCCATTACAGTTGAAATAGTTAAGTTATAGAATTTGATTTTAACAAATTATTATATAATTAATTTAATATATTAATAAATAATTTTATGAATATAATTTTATGCCGAGCTGAATGCAGATCGGCAAAGAGTCATTAACATAATTTCGGGAAGGCCAAGATTTTTCTAATTATATCTCAGATTTTTCTAAAAATAAACTAAAATGCTCATGAATAATTAATTTTTTAGGAACTTGCTTCCAGAGGTAACTTGCCCGTTGAAAAAAATTTTCAATGTTAAAACGCTGGTAGGGCGCTTCCAGTTATTTAATTCCACGATCAGTGCACTTTTAGACATATTTACGCTTTAACCTACTCTTACTTTTAATTATGATCTCGAATTTCGTTTGCATTGGGGCACAAATGCAAAGTTTTGCCAAATTATGTTTAAATTTGTTCAATTACTTGTGGCTCATCTAATTTCTCTGTTTTTTATGTATATTATGAAATTGTATAAAGACTTGAAAAAAAACTTTCAGGCTTATACAATGTATGGAAAGCTAGTTCTGCTTTTTCCAAAAAATCTTTTTTTATCTATTAGAAAACGTTTTCACTTATATATGAAGTTATGGTTGAAAGTTATTGAATTGGTTTTTAAAATATTATCCGATAATTTGTTTTCACTTATATGAAGTTTTGGTTGAAAGTTATTGAATTGATTTTTAAAGTATTTCCCAATAATTTGTTAAAATAACAATTTAATAAAAAAATTTTGTCAAAAAATTGAACTGTTGTTTGAGATTTATTAACAGTTATTGCGGTATTGTCTATTAAAAAACGCTTTCACTTAACAGGGCCTGATCTAGACATCTTTGAAAGCCAAAATTTTGAAAATGTTTAATAGTGTAGCTAAAATTAAGCTGAAAATTTTTTCCGTATTACGTTAATGTTGGCCGTGCCTACGTTTGCCATGCCCGGCTTAATATCAATATCCAAATGCACAAATATATAAATTTGCGTTAAGTATGTAGGCCAACTATGAGCCTCTTAAAATTACGGACTCTTTTCCCATCTGTCTATTGGAGTTAACTATGAACCTTTCAAAATTACGGGCTCTTGTCCCATCTCTCTATTGGAGTTATCTATTAAACAGTAGAACATTTTTTAATAAAACGCATTAACAAAATAGAGCATAATCTTTTAATATTATTAAACAGCATAGGATCGAACAGCTCATGAATGAGTAAATAAATAAATGATGACTGACTTAACTAAATTTTTGAGTGAATGAACGAACAAACAAATAAGATAATGTCAATTGGATAATTAATTAACTGATTGGCTTGGCATAATAATTGAATTAAATGAATTTGTCAAATTAGTGAATGAAATGGTGCATGAAGTAATATAAGTCTGAATGAATAAATATATAAACGGATAAAAACAAATAAATAAATGAATAAATAAATAACATAAAATATATAAACGGATAAAAACAAATGAATGAATAAATAAATAACATATGGACGGATAAAAGAGTGAATGACAACCAATGAACAGCAAAACAAACGATGACATCGTGTTCATTTCTCATTGGCTGCTACACTTGGCAAAATTATTTTAATAAATATAAATAATTATTCTTGTTTAGTTCGCTAGCTATAATAGCTAAGCTTGTGTATAGTGCATCTTTGATTTTAATTAGTTGTACTCATTTGGTACGAATATTATCAAACAATTGAGTTTTCATTATGATTTTATGATTAAATGAGCACTTTTGGGAAATAATTAAAATGAATTGCAAAATAAGTTTTTAAATAATTAATAATTCAACAGGCATATATAGTTTGTAGTTTCTAGGGAAGACATCTGCCTCCCTGCTTGGATGACCTACTTGCCAATATAACTGTATAACATCATTCCTTCCTGTCCCGCCCACCATTTTTTCTTCTTTGTTGATGAAACGTCTCCAACGACGACTGCGGCTGTAACGTTTTTAATTTTGTCTTTTTCATCTGGCGTTAACGTTATTAAGTTTTATTTTAGAGGAGGAAACAAATTTTTGAAGCAAAGTTAGAAAGAAATGAATTCTTTGAATAATTTTGAAGTGTTTTGGCGTAGTTACGTAACTTTTTCCACTTTGTTGTTTCTTTTTCAAAACATATCCGTCATCAATTGTGAACGCAAACCCATGAAGTTTAAAACTCCCCAACTGAATGATGAAGAAACACACT